GGTGCCATTGCAGTGGGACAAGTCTAAACCGGAAGTTTTTCGCCAGGTTTCATTCTCTTTCTTGTGGATTGGATGATGAGATTCCATTGATAGAAAGTCATTCGTAAAAGAGCTTGCATTCTCTTCTGTCTTTTTCTCCTGCTGGTCCAGGGAGAAAGCTACTATCCGTTTACTTTATAAGTGAAAGCTAACCGGAGAATGAGCGAACAAGCCAAGAGCAGTAAGAGTGAAAGCCAGCCTTATTTAGTAAATTAGCAAGGCAGCTAGTGTGATCTCTTCTATTTAATCTCTTAAGCGAAGGGGAAAGGCAGCTACTCCTAAGAGGCAACATATTAGGATCTGCCATTAAAGACGGAAGCAGCTAAGTTAACGGCATGTGTACGCGAGCAAGGGAGTTAAGGCCGTAGAGCAATAGATCGAGTCGATCTGCCAACCCTGAAAAGAGTCCGGGATGAAAGCCCTTTCGCAGGTCCACTCAAAGCATTCCTTTCATCTTCCAACGAATTAAGCCAACCAACCATTAATGACTAGTTCGAAGCCTAAGGCATAGGATTAGCTTAAGGCAGAAAGCCTGGAAGTCTTCTCTTATCTCCACGACCTGGGCTTTGATGTACCGATTGGTAGTATATCAGCTATTGGCTAACTTCCTACTTCTGAACGAGCGAATAGACTAACTTCCCTAACTACATGAACCAGAGCTTATATGACGTAAAGGGCAGCTATACAGGAAAGCATGGATCAGNAGAGTTTTCGACCTTCTTTCTTATCGCGGTGTGGGATCGACGTCAAGGAATTCCCCCTTCCTTCTAGTCTAATCGAGTTAATAGCCCATCCTCCACCATGAGTTCAGAGTCGACATCCGCAAAGAGATAGGGGCGAGAGCCGGTGACGGTAAATACACGTTCCGAACATGAGACTTCTGGAACCCGACGACCCATCGATTAATAGAACTGGCCCGGCCACGGGTCTCACCTTGATTCCCAAGTCCTAGTTTTCTGCCTTTCCTGGAACTTCTTCTGCCATTCTTTGCATTCGACCTAAGGAAAGAATTGGCCTATCAAAGGTGCTGCCAACGCCTTCTTAATTGATTCGAATGCTCTTGCTTGCTTTTCACTCATCAAAATAGAAAAAATTTATTGATACTGAAAGGTCAATTACACCTTTCCTTCACTTCGCTTCAGTAGCTCGCCTCAGTTGTAGCTAAAGCTTCGGTGAAGCCTACCATCCATTCCTACTTTGAAAAGAAATACTCCCACCCCTTCGGGTACCCTATAGAGGGAAATACGATAGGAAAGTCAAGACTGAAGCACCTCAGATTTGAGCTCATTCTCTTCCTCTCCCAAATCTTTTCTTCACTTCGCTTCGCTTCGAAAAGACTTTTGACTGAACTGCGCTTCGCTTCTTTCCTTCCGACTATTTTGCCATGCGAAACTCTATTCCATCTCCCCTTCTCCAGTCCGGGGATAATAAACATAGTCCAAGCACGACGGAAGGAAGGTCAATGTAATCGAACGAAGTTTTGTCATAGAGGAGAGGAAAGGTCTCCCACAAACTCAGCACTTAAGAGAATATCATCTAGTGTCAGTTTCTTTTGATACGAAAACCATCCGCCCAGAGTTCCCGATCGTCCACAGAGGCTTGGAGAGAAAGGCCGTAACGGAGTTCTGTTATCGATTTCCGGGGAATGAATACCATTTCCTTACNTCACTTCCCCCACGATGCCACTGTCCGAAAAAGCAGATCAAAGTCCTCAATAGTCAGATAGGATCGTAGGCATACGTTTACCGGCTAAGCGGGTTATCTAAACCACTCGAGGCTAAGCTCTATTGGGCGCTGCTTTCTTGATAACGCTTTCTGACTAAGGACGCTCTTTTCTACGCTTTCTTCAACAATTCTATTTCTTATGCTATTTCACTCCCTTCCGAGGGTTAGGGTCAAGGGATTTCCTTGGTAAGACCGGATCCAAATGCCCACTCCGAGCGGTAAATTCCTGAATCCCCGTTTTCTATATTCCTCACTGTTTCCAGTAAGGGAGTCACTTTTGTCTTTACTTCCGGCAAGAGGGGAAGTTGATCCACCAGTTCCAGGTCTTTTAGACGGTCCCCACTAATTATTGCCAGTATAGGGCTATTGAAGTGCCAGTTTTGCCTTTTCTGGTCCTATTGACGAGGAATTCCTCAGCATTAGACTCCAGGAGATGATAATCTGTATTACTTACTTAATTCCCAGAGCAGAATGCGTACTTTAGCGCACCGCCCGATCCATAGTAAGGGAAGGTTTAGTTGCTCCTTTTGCCTTTGCAGCTGGAACAACTGGATATCGACTTTTTGGCCAACTTATCATGCGTAGCCTATAAGGTTTATGCATAACGCTTCCCATTTCTGGTTGTTGACAGGAGTGGAATGGGACTTCCCAGCCCTCGAATTAGTAAACTAGGCTGTACCGAAGAGATGCCTCTGTCTCTTGCTTAGTAATAGCTAATACCGCGCAATATGACTGACTTATATATCCCTTCCTTAGGCCTAAGTAAGTCCCCTTCTCGCGCTTGGATATGAAGGAACTTCTTGCCTTGGACCGCTGCTCCTTGCTTGCTTCTTCCCGTGCTACCATTCCTCTTTCCATGCCCCGCTAAACATCGTAAATGAGCCCTTTCCCACTCCTGTTATTAGTGAAGCGGTACACGAACCATAACCCAATCTCGGTCAAGTTCAAGTAACGACAGATCCTGTGCCAATCTGGAGTTAAAGGATTCGAACAACCGATGCTATTCCAGATATCGCTGCCCTGTCTGAAGCACTACCCCGACCTTTGCTTCTCCCGCTCTCGCTCGACCGCTTGACAGCTAGACCTTCCCTTGCCCACTTGATCAACAGTTTGGACAGATAGATGCCAGCTATCAGCGAGGGCCTATACCGTTAATGATGCCCTAGCCCTTGCCTTTACCGGTTTACTGTCCAATTCCATATTATCATGGAAACTCTACGTGCACTGGGCAAGCATGGTTGTCAGGATGTAGGCTCTGAGTCTACTGGATGCAGACAGTACGCGTAGGGACAAGAACAAGCTGTGGTTGGTGTTATAGTCTACGGATGAAGAAGTGAAACCTGACATTCGTTCCTACACCGGTAACGTCTTTCAAAAGAGGGATGCTCCTATGCCGATCGATAGCTATACCGGTATCAAACATCCTTACTCGTTTAATTGGCCTCTTAGGCTTTGTTCAATCAACTTCCCGGGCAGCCAAGGATCCATCATCCACAACTGCTACTATCACTATTGATATACGTAGCTCTTCCAACAGGAGTCATTCTTCCCGTTGTTACCGTTCCTCGCTAGCTCTTCTCCCTTTACCCTTGCCCTGTATCAGCCATTCATTCGTTGTCCACCTACTCGTCAGACCGAGGTGTCCACGGCTGTATCGTATGTTAGTTCCCTTGTCCGGAACCATCAAACCAAGTCTCATTCCTTCGATCGCATGTCATGGATCGCTTGTCCGTTACCCGAGGTACGAGCCCTTGACGGTTTTGATCCTTGCCCGAAATCTTGCCCTTCATCCTGGATTGGATAGCGGTTTTGAGACCCCTAAAAGTGGATTTTACCTCAGGAATCGACATTTCTTTAGCTCGGAACTGATCCCAAGTACGTCACTTTCTCACATTGATATGATTTTCTTTCCGCTCCCTTGCTCGGACAGAGGAATTTCACTAGCAGACCGTCTGGGATCTGTACTCTGAAACCCGATCTTGTTATTGTTAGATTCCGCAACCCACAAAGGATCTTCCGATCCCAGCTCATAACTGGACCCTAAAAAACTGGATTTGAAAACCTGAGTTCCAGACCGCTCGGTCGATCCTTTTCTTCAAACTTCAAAGGCAAAGGATTATTACAAGACCGGTCATTGAAGACGAGCGAAAGCAATCTCTCAGGACTTGATCGCATAGTTCTCAACCAAAAGCTTAGGAACTCATCCTTGGCATTCCAGCATTGTCTTGACCGCTAGGCTACAGAGACAGGACTTTTACAAGACAAACACAAGCGGCAAAAGAACTCAATCCCTCCTAACATCAGAACTAACAGGAGTGAATCTGACAGAACATAAATGGCATATGAAGTTCAGTAGTTTATGAGTGAATGAATGTTAGAACTAACAAAGAAAGCAGAGGTCTCAGACATAACTCCCAGCGGCTGGATTCCTTGCCTTCTTCCGACCGCTTCGTATGAGCTAAGAAACTAGAGTTTGGCAGGCCTCTAAGTGAGTCATCGTAACTCATCTTCGAGGTGCCTTCCTTGTACTTTATCTTTCTACCGACATACTTGGAACTTACTTATGCCATTTTGCTGAACCCAAGCACAGAACTTTAGGACATTGATCTCTTCCTCTTTCAAGGTCCTATGGACAGTTAAAGACACAGAGAAAGACCTGATTGTTGTTGTCGATCTTCTCCGGAGGATATCTAGTCCCTCAATCGCCGAGTAGGCTCGGAGGAGACTTTGTAGTCAACCCGGTCCAGTCTCTTGGCATTTAAACATGGTCCCTTGCAAAGAGAAAACAACCCTGGGAATGAGGAAAGCGAATAATCCCAGTAGTTTTTTACACCTTCAATTAGCGAAGAGTGAAAGAAATAATAGACTCGAAGGACTTTCCCATGGTGCTCGATATCCCGACTGGGAGGGAAGGAAGGAGTGAGGGAGGACCGAACGAAGGAACGGAGATCCATGCCGAAATCCACTCTCAAACCTTGGTCCTTTGTCAAGCCCGACCCTGTGGTGCGGGGTCTTTATGGTCTGTATGCGACCCTTGGTCTTGGGAGTCTTGAGAGAATTCAGTCGTTGACAAGGGAAACTACATGGGAAGGAAATATCGGTACTTACTTGGTAGACTTGGTCAATGTAATCGAGCCTTATCTTTCTACTCTTTCTATCCGGAGTGATGAAAGAAAGCCGTATGTATATGGTGTCCTCATACAAGAGCTAACTTCCCAAAGTCGGGTTTCACCTCTCTCCTTTTGCTTGAGATCCCGAAGGTTGTGTAGCTTGGGGGCAATTCAAGGACTTGAAAACCGGTATACCTGCTCCCTCTCTTTGGCCTTTTTTTGGTGGGTGCCCTCCTTTCCTCTGTCGCTCGCTCCCCACACTTGTACCCTGAGGTTGTCCGTAGGACTTGGACCCTATGGTCGCAAAGGACCCGATCCAAGAGCTAAAAGATAAAGATCAACGACCTTGACAAAGAAATCCAAGAGCCGAAACTTAACAAATTATTCATCCCTCTTTACAGTCCCATTCATTAAAGAAGAGAAGCTTGTCTTGGAGTGCGCTGGTTCAATGACTAGAGGAGCAGAGCAGCAAGAGCATCCAGTTCTTTTCTCAATAGAGTTATGCGTTGCCGGAGTCTCTTTAAGCAACTTGGCACTTTATGCTTGTGCATAATCATGCCTATGGGGAGCAGTGGTCACAAGAGCTTGCTTGTGGGCCCACAGAAAGTGGCTAAGGTCTATGAGCATATCTTGTTTAAGTTGGGAGTTGATATTAGTTATCAAAAATCCTTAGTTTCGACAAGAGGCTCCGCCGAGTTTGCCAAGAGGTTTCAGGTCCGGGGATTGAGGGTCATTTACCAGGCTATCTCGATCAAGAATTTCTCAATTAGCATCGAGCCTGGAGTGAATTGTGCTTAGGTCACGGCAGACCTCTCAAGCCCTACCTCCGTGGAGAGATGCGACCGCGGGAGCTTTCATTATTCCTATTCCAGGAGAATCTTTTTTATAAGGGAAGGGGCGTAGCGAAAGGCGCCTATGCCTTGGGGAGATTCAATTACCAAGCAAGCAAGGGGGCGGGAGGTCAAATTCCCAGCCATGTGTGAGTTTTTTTTCTTTTTCCAGATACAGATAAAGGGCTTTGTTTGAAAGAATCTGTCTTCTTCCTTAGCGAGTAGCTGCTGGTTTTCAATCCTAATCCTCCCTTCCCGCTATCTTCGTCGTGGCGAGTGGATGCCAACTCAATCTGATTTGCCTCGCATTGACCTCCCTGTCTCTTTATCATAGATCAGCCCTCTCACCCCCTTCCCCTGAGGATTGCAAGAAAGCTACCGTCCTTTCAACAATTAGCACTACATCGGCTATAGCCTTATTTTTAGCGGCTAAGCTCTTCTTCCCGCACACTAGCGTATAAGCTTCTTTCCTAGCTTAGTTGCTACTCTTTATCAGATCAGGGACCGTCAGGTGGAACCTGGTCTTACCGATCTATAGAAAGCTTATCCTTTCCGTACCTTGCTGAGTCTATCAACTGACTGACGTTCTTTCATACCAGCCAACGCTCTTCTATCTAAGCGATTTCAGTAGTACGCTCCAACTTCACTTCCTAAACCTTTCAGTCGTACCTTCCCTTCTCTTCTATAGATAGAGAATCCAAAGAAAGAATTGACCTCGAGCCTGTCCTACTTTTTCTTCTTTTCCCGTTCTTGACCTTTCCTTCACTGAACAAGCAACGGATTGAGCAACTAGCGCGAAAGCCGTTGCGCTAACGCGCATCCGTTTTCTTGCTGCTTCGCTTCGTTCGTTGGGTTAGCCTTGAGCCAGGTCTTGATTGTTTATTCCATCTTAATACTTTTCTATTTCCTGAATATGTAGCAGAATCCGTGAAAGCATTGGGGCTTCCTTTCATATGGTTGCTGGCCCCGTATCATAAAGGTACTGTATGAGGGAGAATCTATGCTCATGGCTCCAAGCTGATGTTGAAGGTTGTCAGTAGAAGCATTCTTGAAGGCTAGATTCTACCGCATAGTCAGAGTCTTCCCTGCGTGCCTAACATCCACTCCTTCTAGTCGAGTGCCTTGCGGCGCCTTGAAAAACAGAATAGAAGAAAGGTTAACAGAAAGTCTCACAAAGAAGAAGAGAAGATGAAGTCTAACAGCAGGTCTTGGGGATAACAGTAGATTGATGAGTGATCCCCTCTGAATCAGGGAAGGTAGGACATTCTGAACCTTAACCTCTATTGGATGAAGCAACCATATAACTGACGATATGGATTGAGTAGCGAGATCAGTTACACTAGCCCGGGCATCATCGCTGTCTTAGCGCGAACAGTCTGTAGCCAAGAGTAGAGATTCAAATGGAGGGATGTGAAGAGAAATGAAGTCAATGACACCACACCAGACCGACCGGAAAGGGAAAAAGTAGCTACCATTTCACTTTTCCTTTACATGCTTTCCCCTGTCATCAACTCTGATGTCACTGTCAACAAGAAAGAGAGAGAGGGGGAAGTCAGGGTGAGGGAGGAGAAGAAAGGGTGTCAGGGACGAAAGAAAAAGTACCCTCAAGAGACAATAGATCACGTAGTCCCCGGAGTCAAATACCGAACCTCGCATATACCTCTTCTTCATCCTTTGCCCTGACTAAATCATCCCACTAGGTTTAGACTTGTCCCAGCCGTCGTTCCAGCTGAGCTTCGAACAGAGAAAGCAAATAGCAATGAAAGGGCACTCGAAGCAGGTCCTTCTGTTAGACTGAATTTACGAGGAAGGTCTGAGGCACGAAGTCTTAACGAGCCACTCTTGATCTTAGAGGAGACCCTATTGAGAAGATAGGGTTTTTGAACAGCTCCTAACCTACCAACCAACCAAAAAGGGAAACACATCCCAGGCATAATAATATGAAGAAGAGCGTTTCCTAGCCAACAAACGAAGCGCAGCGCAGTGAAGTCAGAAGGGGGAAGGAAGTACCACTCTTGAATCAAAGCAAATAGAAAAACAGCCACTATCTTAGCAGCTGAAAAAGGGCTTTCATAGGGGAGAAAAGTCAACTCCTTGCCCGTTCCGCTACTTCACTTCTTGGCTTGAAGCGCCTTTTCACTTTGTTGGCTAAAAGTGGAAGAACACTGTCCGAGTGCTCCCCCGAGAGGATGCTTTGAGATTGGCTTGAGGCTCCGCTTCCTTCTATTCAGATTCCCTGCGATGCCTCGTATCAGAGACACTTTTCGTTTTCAGTTCATTGTCTTTTTCTCGAGTTTAGGGTCGATGTAATTGAGGCTGAAAGAGGGATCCAGAATCTGAGGAAGCGACTAGCAGGGAAGCAACTGGGTTAGCCTGCGGATCTTCTGGAGTAGTCTTACCCTGGGAAACAGACTGTAATCGCCGCCGAGAATAAACATGCTGTGCCGGGTGATTGGAATCCTCTGAGGTCAGCTGAACAGGCTGACAATCGGCAGAAGATGCTGGCCTGAAGAGTGAGGCTGATCCGTAACATCAACTGCAGAAGAATGAGGCTGCCCCTATAGATATGCAGGAGATGAACAGGAGAAGGCCGCAATACATCTCCTGCATCATTCTCCCCCGGGGCTGATTAATTAGGGTCCGAATCCGATGAGGCGACTCCATTTCCATTAAAGAGAGCATTAAGGATACATCGAGTCTCTTGGATTTCACGTCATAGCATCTATACCCGGACTGAGCATATCCAAGAAAGCCTTATAGAATAGAATCGTGGTTGCCTTGGGGACAATTTTGCGCTTAACTGCGCAGGAACAAAACACGTGCATCCAAAGACTAGAAAATGCCTATAGTACTGCCCCAGTAAGAAGTTCGTGAGGCTGGATGGAATGAAGCCTCCTGCCCGATGGCAGCCTCTCTCTTCCCCGTCCCTTCTTTATGCACATCTACATAGCCAGACACAAAGGTGTACAATCCGGTAAAAATCTGCGGTTCTTTAAGTTCATTCATTGTAGGTTCTCTTACTTCTTCTAGTGGCTGGCAAAGGCCAATCGAGAGGGGAGAACGAATGGCTTAGAAATCGACCGAGCAGACTCGTGGAGCTGCAGCTTGGATTATCGTAGAATAAGAGGGAACGAACGAAGCGAAGCGAAGTGAAGTCATAAAGAAAGGCTCTGAAAGAGTTGAACTTAAAAGACAAATGCCGCCGCTGCGAGGCGAGGGAGCAACTTGTCTGGTTTTTCGGTGCCCCCTTACGAGAATGAAATGAGGCCCCAGCTTGACTCGAGACCAAGACTCCTTACAACTCGCACCAATAGCGGCACTGAGCGGCCGGAGATTTATGGAAAAGGCAGCCTCTACTTTTCTCCCCAACGAACGAAGCGAAGCGAAGTGAAGTCATAAAAGTCGAGCCGTGAACGCCCATTCGCTGCTACGCAGCTCACCTCTAAAGACCCTCTCCCCCCCTAGCCGCCTACCTACTCGTGTTCGTAGCTCGATCGGAGCTGGAGGCTAAGGAAAAACAGAAGTCATCCGTATGTTGTGATACGTGAATTGCTCAGTAGTGCATCGCTGCTTGATGTTACCTTATTTGTACAAGCGGAAATAGCTTAATGGTAGAGCATAGCCTTGCCAAGGCTGAGGTTGAGGGTTCAAGTCCCTCCTTCCGCTCCTGGCTTCGTCGTTTAGTGGTAACGAGTGGAGTACATAAGCCCCTGACGAGATAGGGGCGAGTAGTCACTTCCCTTATTTTTTACTGAACTTCGCTTCGCTTCTAAAGTTGGGTTCCAAATCTATCTTACTAATAAGAAGAAAGGGGCAAGCCAAAACCTACTCCTAACAAGTTGCTGGCTTTTCATCAGCCGTTGCGCGCTAGCCTTTTCCCTTACTAGTCAAGGGGCTGCTAGTTGTAGCGCGCAGTGTACTAGTGAATAGGAAAAGCTAATTTATCTTACTAATGACGGATGGAGGTTGAGGATAGACTGATCTACTCCCACTCTGAACCTGGTCTTGTCAGAGCCTCGCCCTTGTATCCTTCGCCGGTCAAAATGATGGGAATCCTATCGATAAAGAAGAGGCATAAGCATCGCCTCTCGATCCAATCCGTCTTCCCTAGCCTCCCCAACACACTGAAGATACGAAAGAAACCTCCCGCCATAGAGAAGAGATCTAAAGTCTGGGTCCCCCTCCCTTGAACCTGAACTGGTCGAGAGAGCCGCACCGCATTTGAGTTCCTTCGAATCGAAACCCCCCACTAGAGATTCAATTCCAGAACCCCATCTATATAATCAAAAAAGGAGAGAGCTCCGTGACTGGAAAAAGGGAAGGTCCACCAATGATTGATAGGCCATTCCCCCCTATCCGTCTCTTGATCCCTCATTCCACTAATCCGTTGTTACTGATTCATTCAAGGCGTAGACTCCCCATTTCTTTGTCTTATCTTATTAGCGCAGGTGTTCGTCAACGATGAAAGTCGCTGAACTTAAGACTCTTTTTGAGAAAGAGGGCTAGGCCCCGTCGGGAGGGCTTGAAGGCACTGGGGAAGACGGGTGGATTATAGAGCGTCAGGCAAATCGAAGGTTTGTCCATCAGGAACGAGACAAGCTTAAACCTTGAGAGGCACGAGGGAACGAACGAAGCGAAGCGAAGTGAAGTCATAAGTAGTGGGGGAGAGGAAGGTGGGGACGAGGTCTCGACTTCAAGGAGAGGTCAATGTAATCGAGCCTAATTACTCTTGGAAGGAATGCAGGTCATTATTCATATGGGCTTTCCACTGGTTCTTGAAAGCTATCAATCCCCCCCTCTCGCATCGGTTCTGCATCAGATGATGAGCCCATGCGAAAACTTTCTCTTTTATTGGCGCCCGGCTATTAGATTGAGTCGAAAGCCTACCAACGCAAAAAAGTTCCGATTCGAGTTCCTTTGACTGAACTTCGCTTCGAAAAGTTTGTTGGGGGAGGCGAGAAGATGAAGATCGAAAGCTCCACTGTTCTGAATAGTTAGAAAGACTTTTCAAAATTCGATCGAGAATCTCATCATCTCTTAGGTAGGCCAACCGACCTTTTAAGAACCACGAAGCTGGGCGTCCATGTCACAGAACCTTTCTCTAGCCAAGAATCCCATTATTGATCGAATCGGGGCGTCATTGGCAAATGAAAAATCTATCGACTCAGAAAAAAACCTAGAAAAGAGGAAGAGTCACTAAGACAAGAACTAGGTAAGCAAGAAGGAGAGGCTAGAAAAGGCGAGGCAAGGTTTAAAGATCTCGACCAAACAAACGAAGCGCAGCGCAGTGAAGTCCCGGGAGGGCTTGTGAGTCTCGACCAAACTTTAGAAGCGAAGCGAAGTGAAGGAAAAGAGCTCAAAAGGATCGACAAAGTTGACCTCGACTCCAAGGTTTTAAAGAATCTCGACGCGAAAGGAGAGGAGAGGAGAGCGAAGTGAGACTCAAAGAACGAAGCGAAGTTCAATCTCTGGAGAGGAGAGATGTAATTGACGAAGCGAAGTTCAGTCATAAAGGTCAATTGCATCGAGCCAGGATCTGGTAATCTAAGCCTTGCTTCTTCTGGTCGGCTCGTATTATTTATTATTACAGGTAGTCATTCCCCCGTTCCTACCGTCCAAAACAGGCCTATGGAGTATAGCCAAGTGGTAAGGCATCGGTTTTTGGTACCGGCATGCAAAGGTTCGAATCCTTTTACTCCAGATTATGAACACCCGATCGGATCTGTCAAGAACGAGCTGACGACTACAGGGGAAGCGGCTGACTGCAGTCCCTGAGCCCAGCTTGTAGCAAGCCATGTGCCTTTCACCTACTTTGCTAAGAGAAGATAGAGAAGGGAAAGACAGACGGCAGAAAGCAATCCTTCCAACCAGCCAACCCGAATAGTCCGATTTTTCCTCCATCTAAAAGATCTACAACTTTCATTCCTCTTTCCAAAATAGAGAATTTTTTATCTAACTGTATAAAGGCGGGCGCAGATCTATGAATAGGAGATGTTGTGCGAGTATCTACAGGACCTAAATTATCAACAAGCTCTCCAAGCACATTGAAAATTCGTCCGAGATCCACCGACTGGAACACTTAGAGGAGCTCCCGTGTCAATCACTTCCATTCCTCTCATTAGACCATCTGTAGCACTCATAGCTACAGCTCTAACTCAATTATTTCCTAATAATTGCTTCACAAGTCACATTAATTTGTTGACCGACAGTATCTCGACCCTCCGGAGCGTTGTAAATATTAGGCATCTTGCCCGGGGGAAAAGCTACATCCAGTACCGGACCAATGATTTGAGCGAGACGCCCCAGGTTTTTTTTCAAGCGTGCCCAGGACCAGAAGTAGTAGGATTTATTCTCATAATAATAAGAAAGAAAAAGTAAAATGAAACGATTGCGAAAATTCTCGAATCCAGATAGAAAGTTGATCGGTTAATATTGATACACAAAACGAAACGAACAAGGAAATGCGTTAGCATTCCCAACGCAGGGAAGAGAGACCTCTGTTCAAAACANTCCTGTCATCCCTAGCTACTTTCTTTCGAGAATCCATCCGCTTTCATTAGAGCTGTCGCTAATCCGCTTTTCCTATTGACTTTTTAGGAGTCGCATATCGCCTGCTAAGACTTGAAACTGGAGAGCGCATATCCGATGTGAACAGAAGCGCAGATCCGCTCAAGTATTTGCTCTCGAACCTCCAAAGTACCAAGAGGTTATCAAAATGGTCCATGATGTTGCCCTAATGTTGTAAGGCAAAGGACAAGCGTTGGCTTATTTCTTGGAAGCTCACCCAGCCTCAACAGTTCTTTGCTCTAACCAGCTGATCTACCTGATGAAGAAGTTTTATATGCTAAAGTTCTGTTCCCATGGGATATATACTTCAATGGTGCATCCAGGAGCGCTGGAGCGGGGGCAGGGATTGTTTTCATGACCCCAGAAAGGTCAATGATCCCTTACTCGTTCACACTGACTTCAGCAGCTTCAAACAGGGCTGCTGAATAGGAAGCCCTAATGGATTGGGTATAGCTTTGGAGATGAAGATTGATCCTCTTACAGTGTATGGCGATTCTCAACTGATCGTTAATCAACTGAAAGGGATCTACACTATTAATCAAGAGGTCTCTCAAGCCTTACTTCATCAAGGCACGCAAGCTCCTAAGCTAATAAGTAAGATATCTTGTCAATACTTGATCACCAGTTAAATAGAAAGATGAAAGGGAAAGGAGGATCTATCTCTTTAAAGGAGGGGAATCGATGAAAGAGGTCGTAAAGCAAGAGCTGCTTCATCTAATAGTTCAGTCCTTAGGCCGACATTCAATAGAGAGACGGGAGTCAACCATTTCACATAGCCGGGCTCTTGCCCATTCTTTCGTGGGCATGTGCTAAAGGAAGCGTAGAAGTAGGAGTAGCAGGCACTGGTCTTGACCCTTACCCCGTAAGGGGATCTAAGACCAGCCGGCCAATTAGACTGAATTAGTGGTAGTAGTAGTATGCCTTTCCTGATGACTTTTTTTCTGCGCTATACCTTTACTGCTTGGAGGAAGAGAATCAGCTGTTACAGACCCGGTTGTGAAAGAAGGCAAGTCTACTGACTTGGCTCTTTGAAGGACAACTTCCCTTGTTAATGTACGAGCAGGGGACTAGAAGAAAGATGCCCACAATCAGATGCTAGAGGAACTGAACTGCCAATATGTATATCAAGAGAAATAAAAAAAACAAGATTATGTTCAGCTCTTGTCTCAGATTTCACCTCTCACGCACCACGGTCGTCTCTTGACCACGCAATGACCTTCCCAGAATGGGTGATAATATAATGCAGAAAGCAGAATCTGAAAGGGAAACCCATCCAGGGTCGATGTAATTGAGGGGGTAACCAGATAGAGCGCCCAAGACTTGGCAGGGAACGGGACCGTGATTCTGAACAGGAACAGACAAGATGGACAAGAGGAAACCAAGGCCAAGAAGCCTCCGGGATAGACTCCTCCCTCTCTACGTGGGAGCAACATAGACAGTTCCTCGAAGCCGGGAAGATGATATAGACTCCCCCCATTGACACTTGTTTGTAAGTTAGCACATCAATGAATACGAAGTCTGTTGTCAAGAGTGAGCACTAAATTACATCTAGCCTTGATCCAATTTCCCAGCTCAAGCTTCTTGAGTTGGACTCCCTACAAGCACTTCAATAGACGTCATCTCTAGCCCTAGTTGTAAATGAAAATTCTATGTATGACCAAGCTATGCCCGATCTGTTATTTCTTGTAAGACGAAAGAAAATATGATATATTCCAGTGGTTAATCGCCTGGGGAAGACTATTGATTAATCGAGACGATCTTTACAGAACAGAGATGGGCGGGGCTAAATGAAAAGGTAGAACGGGTTCTTTCGGACAAAGTCTTCCGATAGGTTTCGCTATTCCCTTTATACCTTGAATGAACTTTTTATAGAAGCGGAAATGCCCTTAAAAGCGATGATTGATTGCTTTGGCTTTGCTCTCTAGGGCTAAGCCCAAAGTTCTTCTTTGGCAGGTGGCTTACCCCAAGGGGGGTACCAAACGAGTGATCTTGGTGCCTGCCATAGTGCCATTACGTATACTATAAAAAGTGGATTTGGTCTCGGCTAAGCCGATTTGGCCATCGGTGGATGAAGGTCAATTACAGCGAACCCGGGGCTCAAGCTAGTGAAAAGACCTACATCCAATCTGGAATAGAAATCCGTGGATGTAGGATCAGCTCCAAGATGGGCAGTTCCTGGTGCCTCGGGTCTCATAAATAATGGATCGACAACAAAAAATAGTCGATTACACTTAGTAAAAGTGGTAATCTATTTCTTTTTTATGACTTCACTTCGCTTCGAAAAGTTTGTTGGGTTGAGCCGATCTCCGAAGAAAGGTCAATCTGGCTTCGAGATTGCTGGTCCTTCTCAGTTTGCCCGCCTGTTTAGCCATCTGAGGAGCTTTTAGGTGCCGGCCTTGGAACAATCTGTAGCCGTGGAATAGATAGCCCCTTTTCCACCAGGGGGTAAAGAGTCCCCGGTTATGAAGTTTAGGACCTCCATAAGGCATGACGCTGGGTGTTGAACCTTGTAATGAGTCTGCCATTCATCTAAGTCTAAGGCATCCTCACTCCAGCCGGGCGTTCGTCAACCCAAGACTGTAACTAATCTTCTTTCTATCCTCGTGTGTGATCGGATATTAAGGTCGTTCATCTTCGAGACTAGGGACGCAGCCTTTCGGTAAGTTTCTCTTGCCGCTTTCTGAATGTTCGGGTGGAGTTACACGGAGAGATGCTTGGGTTTCTTCGCTCTTGCTCACTGTAGTACTGTAGTCTATAATAAATAAGAAAGAAGGTTCTTAGATACAAACTTTTCGAAGCGAAGTTCAGTCACTCAACCGGAAAGACGAAGTTGAGTTTCAAAAAGGTAAACACGCGCTTTACTCACCATAGAATAGATCGAGCTTCATAAATGAACCATTGCCTGCTTGTCAGGCTAGATTCAATCCGATCTTGTTTGACTGCTTATATACACAAAAAAGAAGTTAACCCTTCGCCCAGAAAATGACAGCCATCAAAAGGCCTAAGCCCATATAGCCTCGGCCTGTCCAAATGATGTTCAGCGGTCTCTTACCCAAGTAGCTGTGGCCTATGATCCAAAGGACCCGCAACCAGTCAATCACGCTATCCTTACCTTTCAACCAACCCCTTCGATGCCGCTTCTGCAGCAGTATATAAAAAAATATCGGTCCCTTACCTTGATGCCTACAGCTCAATTTGTTTTCCAGTGATGGCCGCGAAATACTGCTTTTTCTTCTTCTTGTGTTGTTTCTGAATGGCATCATAGCTACACGGGGGAAAGCGATGCTGCCCACTCTGCCGAAAAAGGAGGCCTTCCCTCAAAAAATGCCAGTTCCACCATCAGGGCCCAGCAAGCAGCATAATTATCTTCCGAGGCTGCCTTTCATTCCAGCAACAGTAGTATATGGGACAAGTCTAAACCTTGTTCCATCCTCAACTCAACTTTGTCGACCAAACAAACTTTTCGAAGCGCAGTTCAGTCAAAGAGTGAATCTCCATTGAATGGAATAAGTGACGCTTGTCCTTCTGTTTCATGCCTCTTCATCGAAGAAGGTCACAGAGGGACTAGGCTTCATTAACTTAACATGCCATCTAATTCATTATCAGAGAATTTCCCTGGCTGGTATGAACCAAGAGAATCCAAGAAATAGATTCTAAAGAAAGAAGACTGATCAGGGTTGTGGTTCTAGAATAGTTCTTCTCTCCCACTCACGCTACTATCGTAATGGCTGGTGACAAGGCTTACATTGCTTTTAACATTCCATTCCACCCCTTCGCACCGTTGTTCCATCTTCTCATTCACATTAGTTCATCCGAGGATCTATGTAATAGAGATTTCTAGTTGTAGTTGTTAGCGACCTAGTGAGTCAACCCCATTTGCTAACGTAGCTGCACCATTTCTATTACTATTAGATGAAAGCCCTTTGCCATCATCCCAGCAAGACTCAAAGCAAGACCAATCAAAGCTCAAAAAATAAGTCTGAAATCCCGCTCAGATCTATTAATTAAACGCTGTTCGAGGATCGATGTAATTGACTTGCTTAAGCTCTGTTCTAACGTTGGCGATATCCGCCCTGACATTAGCGATTTCTTCTTCAAGTCTATCAGCTTCTCTGCTGCCAACCAAATCATCATATGATGAGAGAAGGCAAAGAGTGGCCAAGAAGAGTAGCTGCCAAGCGGCTGTCCTGCTGTAAAAGAGACCTGAGAAATTGGTCTACGTTTTACAAAGCCAACAAAAAAAGTCTAAGTGGCTAGACAAGAATTAACCGCTGCCGATGCAAAACTACGGTCAAACAACGCTTGAACAGTTTCAAATAAGATCACCAGCGGCCACCTGTCTGTTTCCGCTGACAGATCGAATGAGAAAGATTCACGCTCCCCTCTTAATCTCTTAAGAGGTGAAAGCTGAGAGTAGGTACCATCAGTTGGTAACATACTCAAAGCCTTCATGAACCACTGATGAAGTGGATACAGGAGACGTTGATTAACGTAGTTGCAGATGGCAAATATCCTCCTCTTCCCCGCACCGGGAAACGAACAACTGAGTCGTCCCCATGACGGAGGAACTGAAAGGTCTCTTGATTTTGGCAATAGAGGTCCAATGCGATCTTGAAACCAATCCAGATCCTCTCCTGATAATATTTTCTTATTCTCATCGAAAGGATATCTGATCCTAGGAGCCCATAATGTGCCTTGGCACCACTGCTCACCTTTTGAGTTTGTAAACTCAACAAGATCCGCAAAACATGTGATGTGAGCTCAAAGGGAAGTGAAACAAAGATTGATTTAATCTCAATGTAATCGACCCAACAAACGAAGCGAAGTGAAGTCCCTGGAGAGGGAAGGTGTAATTGACCTCCAAATGAAAAATCTGCCTTCCCACTGACATCTGCTTTCGTCTCTCGTCCTTCGCCCGCTATGCTTCCTAGTAGGTATGATGCCCAGCAACAGGCGCACAAGCAGGACTAGCTTATTGGTCCACTGGTTGTAGCAAGAGGAGCTGGATCAACCAATGACGCTTCGGGCTTCGAAAGAAAAGAAGGAATGAATTTTAGACCAAGCTTCCGTGCCTAAACGTTAAGGCTTGTTGCGTCTTTCCTTACGCCAAGCTAGAGCTATTAGAGTCTAGTTTGAAATGGGTAATTAGAGGCTTCTTTTTCTATTCCCAGTTCGTGAGTAAGAACTTGTTGAAGTTACGTGGGAACAGACTCTTTCATGCTAATGAGTCAAAGGTAAAACAACTCTACTCTTTATCCTAGGGTCAACGGCACATTTTATACTAGCCAGGGTAGCAAAGAGCTTTAGAGCTTTAAACTCCTTTCTATATTCCCTTATGGTTTACTCTCCGAACTTCTATGACTGAACTGCGCTTCTAAAGTTGAGATGTAATTGATGACTCAAAGGAGAGGAGAAGAAGTGAGACTTGACGTTGCCAGGAGAGGTACAAACTTTTCGAAGCGAAGCGAAGTTCAGTCATAGAAGCGTACATGATAGTTTCACTACGTAGGGCAGCGGCGGTCGAACTCAAATTCTGGATAAGTAGAGGCCCTTTTACCAAGTCTACCAGATAGAAGATGATAGAGGGCCAACTATCGTTGTCTTGCACAGGTGCCCTTGAACTTCGAGTTCCTTCCTTCGTAATCAAATCTGATGATACGCTTTGGCGATCTTACCTACCAAATAAAAGGCCTGCTAGGTGCCATTAATCCTTCCTTGCTTTCCATGATCTTAGCTGATGGATCCCGGAAANCATATGAGGCCTAAGGTCAATTGCCTCTCACTGTCTTCTATATTTTCGAGTTTTGCCCTTGATCTATTTATCCATGAAACCCGATCTTTACTTTCAAAGTCTTGCCTTCCGCTCCCGGCCACCATCTATTAATCGAGTTTCATGCGTATGAAGCTGAAATGACCTACGAAGAACATCATCGACATCATCATCTGTCTTTCATGATGGTGAGAGGCAAGATTTCGTGGTACGAGCGCGCAGCTTCTTTTTATTAGAATGATAAAAGACATTCCCGAAGACCTCTTTTCTTCCAGGTCAAAAAAGCCGAAGTGAGAGTTTCATCCTTCGAACCAGAACAGACTGCTATTGGCGGCTTCGCCTAGCAAATCTCTGCCTTCTCTAAAAACTCCTCTGATTCCGTGCCTTGGCCGTGGAACCATTTTTCACTTAAGCGAGGAAAGCGAAAGGTTGGCTCGCCCAATTGGATTGACTGGGATGACAGTTTCTCATTCGGAATCTGTAAAATCAGAATTTGGATCAAACCGTTCGACGAGTCGATCACAATGCCTTCTTTGTATAACCGTTTGACCAAGATGTGGCCCTTCATGGCGGGCTGCAATATGATGGATCGTCAGAATGGTTTTTATCTCTTCCACATCTCGGCGCGCTACCTGTCGACCATTAATCTTTGGTCCTCTGACGCTTCTTCTTACTGACCTACTTGACTGGGAATAAAAAAGCTATTCTCTTTACTAAATCAGTCTAATGGGAAAACTCAAAAGCTCTGGCTCGAGCCAAAACAGGTAAGGCAAAAGACAAGAATGAAATGAAGAAATTTCCACATTCAATCCCTCGCTTTGTAGAGCCCATTGAACCCGTCAGGGCCCCAACCTAGTAAAGGAGCTAGAAGCACTGAGGTCAAAAGCTGCCATTTTCATTTCGTCGTTGAGTGGGATACGAAGCGAGATCCGAATTCCTTTAAATGGATGTCGATGATCAGAATAGAGTCATCGGAAGGCGAGGAGCTTTTAAGCCAATCTTGCCTTAGGCGCATCTTTCTTTTCTTAATTGACTCTTTCTAAGACTGCAATCGCGACCTCAGCGCTTGCCTCTCTTCCTTTGTCTAGTATGTGACCGCCTTTCCTACCAAAAAGCTAACCCAACCCTCGTCTGTGGTCTTTATCCCAAACCACCTATACTTTTCGTGATGAGCGTTATTAAACTTCTCAAAAATCTTCTTCTTTTTAGCAACAATAAAGAAGAGTCCAGACCCTTTGTCAGTCGAAGGCATCAATCTAGATTACAGAAAACATTTACAGACGGGTCCCAATCTCGCTCTTTGCACATCACGGCGTAAGCCACCATCTGAGCCCAGGAGTTGGCGCCAAGCTGGCTAGCTGCAATACCAAAACGGCGTAGTACATCGCCGAAAAAGGGGTTCAAAGTTTAGACTTGTCCCTTAAACATCACTTCGTAAAAGAATGCAGTCCTCTCGTCAGGAGAAACTTTTGATATGTGATCCCCATTACCCGGCATCACTAGCTGAAACCTATTTTGATCAATGTAATTATTGTACAATAACAAGGATACCTTATTCATAACTGACTTGCTTCCTATCCTATCTACACGTAAGAGAGCTTTCATCAGTAACCGCCGGCAAACTAATGCATCAGAATAAAATGGATGCATATTATCTAGCTCAGAGGAAGCACTTGAAAGAGTTTGCAAACTTCTCCTGATCTACGACCACCCTTGTTGCTTCAAGCCATTTTCGACTTCTACCTTCAAACGGGAGATGGTATCATCTAAACCACCCAACTCTCTAAACAATGCAGCAGCTGGGTTACTAAAATCCATGAAAGTTTCTAGAATATGAACTAAAGCCAACCAAATGCAAGTGTTAAGGTTTCTCAATGTAATCGATCCTTAAGTAGAGAAAAAAGAGTAGGGATAAACCCAGCCTCACGCATAGCTGAGCAACCTGATGATGAGACCAAAAGAGTGAAAAAAGATAATAAAGCTTCAACAAAAACAACTGACCACTTTGATGTACCACTGATAAAAAAATCAATGGCTTTTGCATGAGACTAGACAGGATGCCACGATGCCCACCAGTTGTGACAGCAGCTAGCACTGCTGGTTGGCGAGACCGATCCTGAGAAAGGGCAAGCAAGTACCGAGTATGAAAAAAGTGTTCACAGCTGAGTTGAAGAGAGGATGAAAAGGCGATTCATTCTATAATTCTTCTCTCGTCATCGGTCTGCCTAGGCGATTTGATCACAGCTTGCCAATGACCCGGGGTCATGCATATACCTGCTCACAACACCAACTGCTTAAATGGGTGAACCACTGACCTTTGGCTAACTTCCTAAGCGTGTACGCTTGGTCTGAGTTGCTGCTTTGATTGACCCAACTTTAGAAGCGAAGCGAAGTGAAGGAAAAAAGAGATGTAGTAGTACGAGGGAAGGTGTAATTGAGACTCGCTCTCGTCACTTCTCCTTAATCCGTTCTACTCGACTTGGAGAAAACGTACTTCTTTTGGATTGGAAACGAAGGGATGGACTGATATTGCCTGTTCAAAGGACCCTTAAAGAGAAGCACAGTCCAATTCATTCCTCTGACCTCCGGATGCTAAGCTAAAGCTGCTCTCTTGTTCTCGCTCTTAATGTCCGATCCAATCCCAAACCAGAAAAGAAAGAAGGATAAAAGGAAGAGAAATCGAAGTAAGGGACTTGTCCTATTCCTCACCTCAAGGGCTTGCCCTAGGCATAATCAATAGACAAAAGAAAGCGTTCCAACTTCCAACTATCTAATCAAAGCAGATCCGTTGT